TGAGACACATTATAGCTTTAAAGAGACAGAAGGAGACCGGTGAATATGCTGCTTTCACTGTCAGCTTGGACTTGATTGTACAGCAATTGCCACAGTTGACCTGCTTCCCCTAGGTGTTAACAGAGTACAAATTACATATGCATATAAATATGTATATTTGTGTGTATTTCTGAAATGTCCAGAGAGGGAAGCACATAGGGAATGGAGAGATGCTGGCCAGTGGAGTAAGTAGCATCAGATCCTAACTGTTGTCACCCTCTCCTCAGGCACCCACACAAAGATGAGTTTTAAGGAGGACTAGGGCAAAGATTACACGTAGTTTTATGGCTACTTATAGAAATGCCTCCCAAATATGAGATGACAAATGCAAGAAAGCAAGCCATGGAAATCCAACGGGGTACAGTAGAGGCTGGCATCGGGACACTTCAAGAGACTTAATGTGCCTGTATTGAAAGAGAACAGGCAGAAAGGGCATAGATAAACTGAGAAGGCAGTTGGAAGTGAAAACAGGTTTTGATTGATATAACAGAGAGGGGAGCCATTTAAGGGATGCAGAGAGAGAGGGGACAATGTAAAGAAAGGTATTGTGAAAAAATACCTTTTCCATGAGTGTTGTGGTCAATCTGCTAACCACAGACTCATCACAGGGCAATGAGTCAAGTGATCTAGAACTAATATGACACGTATGGGAGTCATTCCTCAGAGATGTCTGCAGGGACGCTACATGGACCTCAACTGTGTCCTTAAAATTCATCCCTGCTCTGATACAAACAGGAAAAGCTCAGCAATGATTAATCTGGTGGTTTCCAGTCACTGCCTTTTAATATGTTGACCAGTGTGATCTCACTGTTACCTTGTGCTTGCATTATTTGTTTTCTTTGTAGACCTGTCAGCTCTTAATTTTGGTTACAAGGTGTTCAACATAACAACTAAAAAAACCCTAGAATGCTAACACAATGGGGCTTAGAGGTTTGCAGTTCTGCCTGAAAGTACTGCCAGTCCTACCCTCCCCTATTGTCTCTCTCACTGTGATACACCACCCTTTCCTCACAGCAACACAACTCTTCTACCTCTGTGCTATGAACTGAAAGTTGAAATTGATTTGGCTAGAAACACTGGAGGCAGGGAGAAGCGCTGGATTTCTTTTTGCTGGATCAGTTCCCCCATCTGGTTGGGTGTACAACCCCATCGGGGTTGTGCCAGCACAGTGGAGGGAAAGGGGCAGTGCAGGCTCAGGGCAGAAAAGGGGGCTGTGGGACGTGGCCATCCATAATCCAGTGTTGGCACCAGATACTTTAAAACACTACATCACAACTTTAGGCATTACCTGTATGCAAATAATAAATACCCATAATAAAAGCATAAATAAAAAAATAGTATTCATACTCCCCTAAGAAGAAATTCATGATTCATAAGTGATTGCAGAAAATTCAATCAAATACTAATAGTGTGAATTGGAAATAAGATTGCAGTTGGTTAATTCTGGAGTATAGGTCAAGCCGGACCCAGATTTTCTTTGTCACTTTTGAGAGCCCACATACCACCACACAGTCAGTAGCTATCCAAACCAAAGCCCATTCTTTGCAGAAAAAATAACAATAATTGTTAGTGGTTCGAGGAACCTCACAAGTAACAGACTAGCAGAATGTGAAAGGCAAATGAAAGACTAGGGCAAAGGAAGAGCATTCAGTTATGCTTTCAACTCAGTAATAAGCTAAAATAAGTAGGTTTTTGTCCCCTTTAATTTTGAAAAACCTAACATGGGGCTTAAAATAACATTTTTACAATGATAATTTTGTTGTTCGGGTTGTGATTGCTTTTTAAACCTACTATTCATTAAAATATCTGATTTTTTTTTTTTCCCCACTGACTCACTGCCTTGGTTATATAAAATTACTGGTGCTTTTGTCATTCCTGTGCCCAGTTGGAGAACTAGCTCAGCAACTGTTGTGTACTCAAATAAAGCAAGTAAGCCTTACTTCGTGCCATGATGTATTCCTTACACAGACAATGTAAAAGGAGAAATCCCAGCCCCACCGAAGCGAACTGAAACAAATCACACTTTAAATTCAGTAGCATTAAGATTTGACCTCAGCTTTTTTCTTCCAGAGTCAGGAGTGCCAGACTGAGTCCATCTGGAGTGTCTCCTTTGGCATTCAGCTTGACTTGGGACATGATAGGTTCAGCAGAGAGACTTGTGAATACAAACTCTTGGTTCTGAAGTTTAACATAATGAAAGTCACGAATATATACTTAACTGATCATCACATAACATGCCCTTGTTGCAACTTTAAATGCAGTTCTGCAAAGGAGCTTCAGGAATGACACTAAATTAGATAACAACCTATGCTCCTAATTACATTTCTTGTTACAGTTAACGAGAAAAACACTTCCAACTTCTGAGCATGCAGGCTCACACTGAGATATGAGGAACAGACAGATTAATTTCATTAGCACACATTGCCATCTATAATAAAGCTATAACAGGCCAAATGCTCTAGTTTACACTCCTGAAACTCTTGTCTCCCTCCGGTCACACTGTTGTTACACTTTCAGGATGCCAAGAAGGGAAACGGATCTGGCAATTGTCACTGTTTGGAAGTGCAAACAATTTTTCCCTTAACCACATCGGCTTTGCAGACTTACCAATAATATAAAAACCGTAAAAGCTTACTTCAGTCATTAAAGCGATCTGACTCACAAAAAAGGAATCACTATGTTGAGTTAGGAGATGTCAGCTGACATAGTTACTAAACTGATTGCCAGAAGCTGGGAAGTTAGCAACCAGCTTTACTTTTAAAACATTTTTTTCCCTAATTTTCTGCTAATGGCTCTTGCCAGAAGGAAGTTGCTCAGGTAGAGCAGTGTTTGTGGTTTTGGAATAGATGCATAGTTTTACTAGCATCATAGGCCACTATCAATTAGATCATCAGATGATAATAATAATCATAATTTAATGTTGTGGTGCCTGAATTACTGTCTGTGGTGATATTGTAACATCATGCATAATCTTGAAAAGATGAATAGAAGTTACAGGGCACTGGTAATAACGTTAAAATTAAATGGTAGTAGGAGTCTTAAAAGTACAAGAACATCAATGAGTACTTGAAATAAGTTCCATTTTAACAAATAAAGATAAATGACCCATTCAAGTATGGGAACGGGTAAGAAACTTCCTTTAATGAATTTCTCAGTATAAGACACCACAAAAAATAACCAGAGAATACTTTAAGAAAAAAGCATGAAGATTCACTTGTCAGGTGATGAAGATGTATAGCTGAGATCTCGAAAACCTCTTAGCCTGAGCCTGCTTACATGTATTGCTAACCAAAGCCAAGTCTGAGAAATCACAAACATATGACAATTTTCCTTCCTGCTGCTAGAAACTCTGCCTAATCTCCCAGCAAGTGGTCCCATTTGGCTCATACTCAAAGCCTGAAAGAGATCCCAGTTTCCTATAGCTTAATATAATTTGTATGTCAATTCAGTGAACAGAGGCATTACAAGAAACCTCCCGGCATTCTTACACCTTTACAAGCATGCATATATTTTATGTAAACTGAGCAGTAAGGCACAGAGCATGTGCTATTTCTGTGCTTTTTACCAGGCTGGCTAGCCCATCCACTCATCACAATGTTGGAAGTGAGTGCTCATATTATACAGTGGTCTTTATTTTGTATGAATACACAGATCCAAGCGCCGAGTAGTATGCGCGAATCCTTTACATTACAAATCAGCAAGGAGCTCCATTAATTTCAGCCAACACTAGATCAAGCCACATGAGGTGAAGGCGTGGGTAATAAGCCATTATTTACTTCAATTTCTCCTATAGTAACTTTATGCCTTTTTAAACTTGTCTTAATTAAATTCATTCTGGAACTTAAAAATCGCTCAGTTTCCACTGATCTGGAAATGACTCTTTTTAGGCCAGCAACACTTTCACCTTGAGGCATTTACTAGATCTAGAATAGGTATCAGTGCTTATAGCTTATAGAGATTGTTTTGTTATCATGCTCAGTGAGTTTGCTCCATGAGATTCATACCACACTTCCACTGTGCCAATGTTTGTTTTTTTCAAGCAAAAAAGGTTTGTAAATAATGGCCCCAGAGTATTATCTGACAAACCAGTGTTCTGTTTTAAACGCAAAAACAACAGATGCTACTTTCCTTATGTATCTAAATAATTGGAAGGTAGTGAGAGGTACTGCTCTTTACAGTACTGAATGAGATTTGATCTATGAAAGTAAGTGCAACTATTTGTAATCACCATGTCTACCTTATGCAATAGTTTATGTTCAGATGCAGAATCCTCTTTGCAGAAAGCAGATCTCACAATGAAATCCAATAAGGAATCACTATCAATGGTACAAGCAACAGTTCCTCGTAGTGTTCATGCCACTGGTTGGAGAGTACATACGAGGCAGGTAGAGCAGCCAGAGCAAACAGCAGCAGGTCGTAAAGGGATCTTGTGAACAAAAAGACCTGGGAATCAGGAGATGTGGATTCTCGTCCAGGGGCCGCAGTAAAATTACTGTGTAAGCCAAGGAAGCCATCATATCTATAGTCAAAATTAAGCCAGTCAGGCTGAAATATGAAGCATTGTTTTTAATGTCTCTAATTCAGTGAAGTCCTAATCTGTGATAAAAGCCCCATGAAACTGTTGTAGAAATGAATCTAATAATTAATAATAAAAGGAATCATTGAAAAACCAGGCGGGGGGTAGCTGTATTTGGTATATAGGAGAGCTGTTATTTTTCTAGTTCTAACCTATGTTTGTACTTTCCTCTTTATCATGTCGACATTTGCAAACAATAAAAGGGCATTATGTGCTGGTCTTTGCATCTGCTTTTGAGATAAATCTATGTTAGCATTCCAAAGGGTCAAAGAACTCTTCCAGGGCAAACATTCTGGAGCACTGATGCCAGATGGTGTGTATATAAAGTGGAAAATGAGAAAAGCAATTTACTGTGTTCCTGTTCCAGGGAGAAGTATCACCCAGAAGGACAGCAGAAGAGGTGAGAAACTACTGAGAGACTGGAGACACAGTTTTCTTCTTCTGTAAGATGTTGTTTTCTTTCTATCTGAAAAGTCTAGGTACATAGAGGAGCTACAGTCCTTATTCAGGCAAAATTATTCCAAGTAGATAACAGGAATATTTAACTAAAGAATGAAGGGTTAAATTGATAACATGTATAAAGAATTATGCATTGATTTATGTAACGGGTTCTAGATTTATCTATATAGCTCACTAATATGTAGTCTGTTTAGAGAAATTTTAGTCTCACAGACAAAACATTTTTATCTTGCATTTTTGACCAAACTCTACAAAAGAGGCAGAAAATAATGGATCAGATTATTAAGTATAAATTAGCATAGCCTCAACAAAGGCAAGTTATCAACATAATTTATCCAGCTTAGGTGCTAACCACTACTAGCTCACCTGCAGCTGTATTAAATGTGTAATTTCCAAGTGTGCAAAACAACTCTGCAAGTTTTAGAACTAATGAATATTTTCTTCAAATCTAGTGAAGCATAGGAACGTCTCTTGGAAGGGCTCAAAGATAAATTCAGGTTGGTGTAAGAAATTTAAAATAATTTTCTTAAATACTGAAAATTATAATGTTTTCTTAAATAGCCTGAACTATTGGTGGATTTTATCACTTGCCACGGAACCTCAAAAATATGTAGCAGAAGAATAAGTGTTCAGATATAAGCAAAGACAAAGGGAGAATGTGTGTCTTAATACTTATGTGTGCATCTTTGATGAGCGTATTTTATTTTGTTATATATATGTAGCTTTTTTAAAGCAGTTCTTCCTTTTAATGTTATGGCTTCTCCTAGAAATAAAGGATATAAATAATGATTTCTCTCCATACAGGAAAAAGAACCAAACAACAATGCTGAGGTTTGCTGTCGCCCTCTTTGCTGTCATAACATCATCTACCTGCCAGAAATATGGATGTCTGGAAGGGGACACCCACAAACTGAAGCCAAGCCCTGAGCCAAATATGCATGAATGCACTCTGTACTCTAAATGTAAGAGTGGTTTAATTTTTGCCAAATATAGTCTAGAAGTACAGCTTTGTACACACTAATTGTTTTGGCAGTTCCCTTAATTTCTCAAAATTATATAAGATGTAGTACACATTACTTTTGAAAAGCTTCCTTCATTGGCATTTAGTTGCATGCAAACCAAGAGTAAGATTCTGGTTCTTAACAGTGTCAACTGCAAAACTCTCACTGACTTCATTTATTACCTTTAAAAAATTCTGATGCAGTTTACTTTTCTTGTAGCTCCATCTGCTTAAAAAAGTTTACAGCAAAGATGAATTTGGTTTATTGTGATTAAGTGTAAAAATTAATTAATTGTAGCAGACACCGAACGGGAAAGGTTGAAATCAAAATTCTACAGTGAGCAAAGTATAGTATTTATTACATTTCTTTAACTCTCTTTTTATGTTTGGTAGCTTTCAAAGCTAGTATCCCTCAGGATATAACATCTGGCGGAACACTAGTAAAATTCTTGGGGCTCTCTGGGCGCACCTTGACAAAGCACTGTTGATGCCAGTCTACCTCACTTAGCATTTACACTACTACTTCCAAAATAAAAAACGTTGGTGCTTGAGTACATATTCTAGATAGCACTAAGAGACTTTATCATGTTATGGACCAAAACAGATTCATCTTACATTTTGAGTCTTCTAAATACAGTATTAAAGAAAATCCTTATTGCAAGATTTCTGTTTAATTCCTAACAGCTTCCTGTTGCTATGCAGACTTCACAGAGCAATTGGCCCATTCCCCAGTAATTAAAATAAAAAACAGCTACTGGAACAGATGTGGGCAGCTCAGCAAATCGTAAGTCAGCTTTGATGTTGTCTGTGTCCTGGTTCAATAGATCTGTGCTGTAGCAGCCACACAGCTAATGGTATCTCTCCCTGGAGTTGCTGATGGACAGTCCCTAGGTTGCCCTAGAGATTACGCCACCCAGCCTAGTTCCCATCATCTTGTCTCTATACCTGACCAATGTCTGGCTCTTCTTCTCCTCCTCTCACAAAAGCCCATGAATCCCTAACTATATACTACTTATGCAGGATTTATGCCATTTTATCAAGAAAGGGTTCTGTTTTTTCAAGTTTGCTTTCAGCATAGAACCAGACCTAGCAATGCAAAGCAGTCATAAACCCAGTAGGTAACAACCACACCGCACCTCCGCAGCTCTCCAAAGCAACTATCACATACCCGTGAGTATGACCCCTAGTCAATACAGACCAGGCTTCTTCCTTTGTTTAGAAAGCAGATCAGCTAGATTATTAAATCTCGCAAACAAAATGCATGAGTCCAGAAACGAAACTTCTGAATATTTAGAATAAAAATTCTTGTAGTCCTGTGGGTTTTGTAACCATGAAGAATGTCTTCGTAATTAAGATTTTTAGTACCCTGTTAGATGTTAGAGCTATGAAACATGGCAAGTTATAGAAATAAAAGAATGAAAGTACAAAACAATTAAGCAAAAACAGATGTGCAAAAGTAACAGCTATTGCCTGCCACTCCCAGAAGAGCAGCAACAGTATGTGTTTTTAAGTAACTTCAGCTGGGCTGTGGGAAAAATCTAAAGATTAGTGAAACCATGAGGCTACAGCATAGAAGGAGGTTTGTACTATAGTTTTAAACTACATTTAGTATTGCCTGGAATCGTTCTTGTCAGGAAAACTCAAGGCCTCAAAAGTTTACGGAAAGCTTACACAAATAGGGCTGAAATATGCATGGAAACATTTGTGCACTCTTTAGCTGGCTATGGTAATTGCACAGTCAGAGTCTGTACACAATGCCAGAGGAATGAGTTTGGAACCTAGACACTAACAGGGTGAAAGGATGCTTTTCTATGTTTTTCTCCTAATCTGCAATATTGCATCCACATCAAAGCAGGCCTAGAAAACTGAGGCTATAGCCTTGATGCTAAGAAACAGGCTTATTTGTGGCTTTTCTCACCCACCACAGCTGTGAAGATTTCACAAAGAAAATTGAGTGCTTTTACCGGTGTTCTCCACATGCTGCTCACTGGATCCATCCCAGCTACACTGCTGCTATTCAGTCTGTTCCACTGTGTCAAAGCTTTTGTGATGACTGGTAGGTTCAGCTTTTTATCGAAGTATTTTTATTTAGCTTTAATATGCCTGTGTTACTAGGGTGTCAAGGAACATGGGTGGATGAAGCACAGATCTCCTAATCAAGTGGCACTAAGATTCCATGGTGTTGCACCACCTTTGTGCCTTTTCTCGTGTTCTTCCTCTTCATTTCTTGTTTGCCATCGCTACTTTTTCCTCTGCTAAGCTACTACCCCCGGAATAATAATGACACAGGCTGAGTGCAGGATGGAGTCGCTAAAGTCTGTCAGAGTTTAGTGGCTCAGGGACAGCACTGCCCTGCTCTCCGTGAGGATGCAGTGCAGCGGCATCAGAACTGCCTGACGTGACGGAGGAGCTCCCACCATGCTGACAGGCACTAACAGCAGTGAGGGCCTGCCCACCCTTTGAAAAGCCCATGCCTGTGAGTTAGTATTTATGCAGCTAGCATTTTAAATCCAAATACTTGATCATGATATGATACATTTCTTTTTTATATAAAAAGTGCACTATGGAATCATGAAAGCAGCCACTTTCTGTATGTTTTCAATTCATTCAAATAACAAATTAGCTTAATTCCTTAATTTTTCACCCTTGGCCTTTTTTCTTCCCTTCCATCATCCCTCCCTCTAATATCACGTCTAAAAGCCTGAATCTCAGAGAAACGTGCAGCCAAGTAATGCTAAAAATATCAATAGCAAGCATAATAGCATTTAATTTTGTTTCCCAAAATACAGCATCAGGGAATCACATTATTTTTTGAGTGCCAGACATGTAGTGGGACAGCCCAGCACTTGTCTGTCCTTAGTCTTGGGGCAGGAGCTTTATATCCAGGTGGGGATACTGAGATTTTTTCAGTGGTCCATATCCAGCACATATCTCTCCCTGCCTCCCTTCCTGTTTTGGGATGTTGGATCTTAAATAATGTCATCATGTGACATATAAATCTCAGTCAGTACCATATTAATGTTGTGCCTAGTAACTACAGTAACTTGTCTGTATGGTTAAATTGGTGTGAAGCATAGTACAAACAGCACAGGCTGTGTTCACACTATAGGATTGTAAGTGCTAGCATCCCTTGAAAGTAATGAACTGTGAATGTCTGAATCCCTTAGGCTGCTCTGAAAATCACAGAAAACTGTTTTAATACTTCTAAAAACATTATAAAAAGGCTTTTCTTGGAAGCACAGAAAATACAGTACACAGTAGTGCATGGTCAGGTTCTCTTGCAGTGCTCTGGACAGTGCTTTCCCTAGTGGTTATGCAACTTAAATATTATTGACACATGGATCCATTTTCACTCTCATCTTCTCTCCAAGGGCAAAGTCATGTATGCAGTGCAGTATTTTGTTAGGATTTGTCTTTAAATATGTCTCCATTGCTTTGTGCCAGAGAAGGAAACAAGAAGCATAGCTCGGATTTGTAATGGAAGATAGTGAGAAGGGCTGACGTATTTCTTAGCTTCCCTAGAGCTTCCTCTAGTGATGAATTTTATCTCTGTGTTAGGAAACTCCATGTGCCTCAGGAACAGATGTCATGTGCAGTCTTCCTTCCTAAATTTTTGGTAATCTTCTAAACTGAATCCAGATTATTGACCTCCTTGAAGATAAAGACTGAGACCTTGAATTTGCCTCGGTGCTCAGAATCTCAAAGCTCAGAATCAAATATTACCAACATTTATGAAAGCATTTGGATATTAAAGCATTGGAGTTGCCAATGAGCTTTAGAATAGATCTAACAGGCAAAGCAATAGAATACCAATATCTAAAACAAATGTATCACAAAATAAGTAGCACACAAAGTCATCACCAAATTGCTATATCCAGTGAAAGTGTAAAGATGAAAGAAAATACACCCTGTAAGTTTAGTTTGCATCTGGTTTAAGCTAGCCTTAGTATATATGAGAGTTACACCAAAGTGTATATATGGTGGGTCAATATTGCATAGCAAAACCCTTGGTGTCCCCCGGGTATTGCCAGAAGCTCCTGGTTTTTAACTTTTGTTGTTGGAAAGTATGGGGATGTGTGATTGAGAGCTGCTGCACAGGAAAAACTGACCCTTTTCCAGTATAGAGTCTCCTGGCAGAGAGCAGGCTCTGCTCTAACCAAATACTGAACAATGACCTATTGCCCCTGTTGGTATCATAGATGCCTGGCCTGAATCAAAAATATAATGATGACCCATTACTGTGCATGCTAGTCTGTGTGCCTGCCTAATGCCAGTGTCAACACCATTCCCTCACCCTGCATAAGGCCTGAGGCTAGAAAAGAGCCTGGACAGAATTCCCACTTTTTCTGGTGATTTAAAGTAACATTTTTTCATGTTCTATTCACTGGAGTCCCTTTAGCATGCTGTAGCACTGCTACTGATGTGACCTACTTTCTCTACATGCCGTGAGTGTGCCTGCTGCATACTGTATGTCTTTGTGGCCAGAAATGTGCAGAGGATTCTGAATGAGCAGTGACTTCATTTAAAAGAAATTCATCTGACTAGCTTGGGGCCTTCCTTTTCTTCCTATTGTCTTAGGATTCCTTGCTCCCACTAGTCCTAAAACTATTGCTTTTGAAAGAGCCCAAGGTATAAGCCATTTTCGGATCCACCTGCAAAAGGGCCCTGTGCCCTTTAAAAGAGAAACAGCTAATTATAAAAGGGGTGGGGGGGGGGAAAGCTTTAAAATAAAAGCTTTAAAATAAAAATATCCTGCCCATTGTGCCTAGGGAACGAGTATGTTCAGGGAGTATTTTAAGTATTTATGTTTATGTTTCTCACCGGTTTTAATGAATGTTTGAAGAAACCACTTATGGGTCTCTGGACAGCAGAAATCAGACTTATGCCTTGCTACCTGCTTATATAACAAACCACAGAGTCAGGCAATAATCATAATTAGGAAACATTTCATTTGACAATTCAATAGATAATAGTGAATAAAAATATAAATACTTTAATAAACATATTTAATTCACGTTCCTGAGGAAACCAGATGCATAGCATAAATGCCCCAGTTCAGTAAAACTCTGAAATACATATTCATAATTTGAAAAGTATAACTGAATGTGACACTAATTTCAAAAGAAGCAGTTCTGCCTTCTCCTCAGCCCCAAGGGCTGCTCATTCTTTCCCCTACCCTGTCCCCACCCATGTGCCAGCAGTGCTGTCTGAGAGGCTGTGAAGCAACTCTGGTCTGGGAACCCATCAGGCTGAAAAATACTTAAGCCAAATAAAAAAGGAAACCAAAAAAGACGACTGTGGAGGGGCACAACTGCTTTAAGTGATAGTGCTAGTATTAGGCAGCTCACAGTAGATATTGGTGGACTTTGCTAGAAAGCAATGAATTTAAGTGCACACATAAAGTAAAGGACATGCCTACATGGCTTGAAGAATCGAGGGCTAATTGTTGAATCTGATGCTGGTGTGTGGAGAGTTCATAGATGGTGATTAACAAAAAGTTTGCATTTTGGTGCTTCTAACTGGTGTGCCTTCAAGCACGCAAAGTGACGAGCATTAGAGAAACAGCTGTCACTGGGGAGTCACCTCTGTGTGTCTGTCTCAGTCAGGGTACACGCAGAAGCTAACAAACAACAAACCAATTATTCTTATAGTCCCTAGTCCCAAATCCAGTCATGGCACAAACTGGTAGGATATGGCTATTAGTGTCACATTATATTATCAAATCGCAGCCTATATTTCCAGCAGAGCCCCTACCTCTGACAGCAGATTCATGGATGGACACATTTGAGAATACATGCCCCCTGCCCTAGACCTGTTTAGTTCAGGCCCTGGTTACCCTCCATCTGTTACGGCTCTTTCTCCCTCCAAAAAGCCCGGAAAACCTACGTGAAGGTTCTGCAGATGTGCATGTGCACATGTACTGCAATGTCTAGTTCTCGTAGTTCTGTGACCACATGACAACCTCATATTTAATTTAAAAATATGTCTGCAGCCCTCGTGATATCAAAGTAGTTTTGGAATCATGACCCTGAAGATTAAAAATGACAAACAGAAAATATATCCAAAGGCATTAATTATAAGTACCATGCTGAACTATGCTAACTTTTTCACAGCTGTGCCTCATGGTTTTGGCACTCTCAGTTACTGGTGTGAATAGTCTGCCTGAAGCCATTGAGACTAAGTTCAAGTAGGTGTTAACTTATTTGCAGAAAGTGATCCTTAAGAAAGGTAAGAGCCAAAAAGTAGAACATAAAAAGAAGTGGAAGGAAGGAAGGAAGGAAATGATGTAGGATAATGGTAAATCATGATATCTCTCATCACATAGACCAGCCAGTTGCATGCTGTACTCATTCCAGGACATTTATAGGCTTTTTTTTTACATTAGAGCTTACAAGTTAAAAATAACTTAAAATTTAAAATTTTAGACCTACGCCCTCAAGACTCTTACCTTTCCTCTTTCAAGTTTAACTTCATAGAAAATGTCGTTCTGAGGCTGACAGCCTATTAGTTTATATGATTTTGTTGTTTGTGGATTTTCCTTATTTCAGTGTACATTCCTCATAGCAACCCCCTGCCCAGGAAATATCATTCTTCTTTTCCCATATTAATTCATAAACACAAACTTTCCCT